CCATCCAATCATATGTTGGAAATGTACGCACTTGTTTTGGAACTTTGTATCAAGATGACTGGCGACGACGCCGACGCTCCAGGCGGCATACGCGTGTATTGCATGTTTTAGTAGTCCGGGCATGGGGTTGGACTCGGCTAAAACTAAACGAAACACAGAAAAATACCACCGAAGTGAGGAATCTGAATCTGTTCTTGTAGCAGCAAATAAAATGAGCGAAAAAAGGTAAATTTTATAACAAGAACAGTTTCACTTCGTATACAGCAAATTGTGTTGTATCAGAACGACGATTGCATCGTGTGATTTGAATTTATCACGATTTTCCTTCTAGTCAATATGGAACTCGTCACCTTGCCGATTGTAATGTACTTCGCAAAGTTTTTAGTGCCCAATACTCGCAACACTAAAATAATTAAACAAGATATCTTTTTAAAATGTCATTTTACTCTTGATCATAATATTTTATTCGCCTTGAATTTCAAATCGATTACATATCGAACTTCTGTACATGTTTTTGTCTACTGCCCTTCTGCGTGCAAATAATGAGGTCATACTCATGTCACAATAAGTTGAAGCTGATGCCATGTTGATGCCATGAGACTGCGAAGCTGAGGCCACGATGATGCCACAAAATAGCGAGGCGAACATAGCTTCAATTTTCAATGACGCGAAGCTGATGCCACAATGATGCGATGCTGAGGCGACAATGAAGCCATGCGTATGCGACAATGATGCCACAAAAGCCAAAGCTTCCGCGAGAACTGTACTGTACATACATGTATTAATTCTCCTGTTAGCAGATGTTCTATGTATTATTTTAACAAGAGTATTTTATAATTAAATGATGAGGACTGTTACATTTATGTCTTGTTTATACAATATCTAAAACTAAAACAAACACAAAGTACAAACAACATGACACTTGAAAAGCTACGTTTGCTAGTAAAAAGCATACCGGTAAATATATCAGTAACAGAAAGTTGGAAGCCAGGAGATACAAACGCAGATCAGTGTTACACCATACCCTTTCCATCTAATAGCAAATCAACAAAGCAAAAAATGGCTTCACTGAAAATAGCGATGTTCTATCATGAGAATCAAATTCTATAACCAAATTATGTCGAAAAGAGGGGTTTGTTAAACTAGTTATTCTGAGACTAATTTGGTCGTCTTTCTAGTCACCTTATTTGTTGTATTTCTGTATATAAATTTGTGGGGGACGATACGTTGTGGTTATGGAAATGTAACGAAATATAGTATGCAAAATTATCTGCTACACAATCAGCACCAATCACCACAGAAGAACGACTTAATGAAAACTCAGAATTTATTCACTAACGGAAAACCCGCTGGCAATCCGGAGACTTGCAACCTCATATCAACGATATAACACAAATTGTAAGAATGATACAGAATTGGCAGTATGCCTTTGATATACATCGATAAACTCTTGACCGTGTAAGAAAATTAGTGGGAAAACTTCTAATTGGATGAATATAAAAATTGAAACAAAAGAACACACTGCGGTGGTTTCTACCACGTTCGCATTCATGTCGTCGTCTCACTTCAGAATCCGTATTTTGCAACAATGTACAAGTCAGAATACAGTATTATTGAACTTGTATAAAACGTAATGAATAAAGCGATTAACAAATATTGCATGTTTCAATTACAATGTTTCACAGATAAATGATTCAGAAATTACTCCGACAAAATTTCCCTAATAGCATTGCCTTCCTGTAATGCACAGAAAATCCACAAATAAAGATTTTGAAGAGTTATTATTACCATTACTATTTAATTGGGCATTTCCCAGAGTATGCTAACAAATCATATTATTTAAATGTTATCTCAAGAACCATTTTTATTAACTACATCAATGCTGCATAGATTATACTTACATATCATGTGTGCCTTCGTCAAATAGTTCCCATGTTGCAATTGCAACGTCGGTCAAAGTATAATCAACACCTATCAGTATACAAAACAAGACAATTATCAAAAAACTCAAATTTCCTAGGGAATACACATTTGTATGTACAACATTCTTTAAAAGAGAAGCGCTATTCAAATTTAAACACAAATTTGAACAGTTAAGAGCGAGTTTTAACTGAGAGAAAGCTAGACAACACAGTTTTCATCTAATATGTCAACTAAACTACCGGTACATGCATTAATTTAATTATAGTTCAAAGATAAGCAGGCAAATTACAAAACATCAATTACATTTGTTTATCATTTTAAACTTCATCACAACAGGATGATTTGCTCCATTAAAATCAGATCTCCGATAGAAGCACATAAAAACTAAAAATCACATTTGTTGTATACTGAATCATTTAAAATATACCTTATTTTGACTATGGAAACCTAATCTGTAATTTACATATTAAGCACATTCCCTAATAATAGAGCACATACGGTAGCTATTTTTTCAGTCAACACGCCCATTCAAATAAAATTTATGTAAAAGTATAAACCTTGCAAATCCAGTAATAAAATTCGCCCACTATACTTCTGGTAGCACCAATGTGCAAATGAGCACATTTTGTCTGTGATAACACCACCATCTTTGGCAGCTACACCATTATTATTCAGGTATTTTTTGAATTTTCCTGGTAGGAATTTTTCAATAGTGTAGTAAGGTTCTCCTTCAACCTTCATAATATAACAAGGCAAGACTCTGTAAAAAACAAAACAAATGAGTTAACAATATTGCTGAAAAATGAGAGCATCTTCTACCATTAATTTGAGCTTACAACCTTTAAGTTTACCATAGGGTTTTGAAAAGCTGACAATAAAAAAACATAGTTGAACTCTAGTGACCTTGCCCTTTGTTGTATAATATTATTCCCTTTATCATAGTTTGTTTCAATATGAACATGCATTGTCATAATTAATTTTGAATACACCAAGTTTTGGAATTAAAACAGCAGTGGGAAAGCAGTCTACCAAACGTCCTTGATAGATGTAGATATCTTACAAAAACATTGGTGCCTAATTTGTTTAATTATTTTAAGGGACATAATTTCCAGCTTTATTCAAAGTTATTCAGTTATTTTAGTAGAAAAATGAATTCCTCATCTCAGAAACATGTATTGTATACTACTGTATTATTTGAAAAGTAAAAAAATGCCCTCTAGAATTAACTAGTATGTTGCAAGCTCTGCTTTGTATGCAAATCAACTGTAATAGTTATAGTGATTGGAATGCATGTTAAGCATACGGATAATCAGAGTTGACATAGCATATGACAATGAACAGATGTTGCATTGCCAATGAAGAATGCAAATAGTTAGTTGGTGTCCAGTGGAGAGAGAAGTCAAAAGTACTGTTGCCTCCTGAGAATCTACATCTTCAAACACAGTGTGTTTTTAAACTAGTATTATAAAAGCTCTGTAATTCTGTTCCAATAGCTGAAACAAATTCCTGTGAATTTTCAAAATTCATATACTTCGCAATACAAAATCCATATTTTTTGAGTATGTTTTGCTTTTTATGTATTTTTGCATTATTTTTGTTTTGATAACTTTGGACTAAAGAGATTTTCTATTGGCTTCAAAGCTTGATCAAAAGTTTGGCACCCAATTTATAGGAGTGCTTATAAAGATTATCTGACATCTTGTTTTCTGTTAAAATTTTATTTATTGGTAGGTTTGCAAATGTATATCAGACTGTGCAACAACTCTCTCCATGAGTTGGTTTTGAAACCCAGTCCAGTATTCCCATGGGATTTTGGAGACACAATACTAATGATATTATTACAAGACAAATGATTTACTTCACTGAGCACATACAACAATGCATATTCCATTGGGATCAGTGATCTTTGAATGTGTATCACCAGTGATCAGTCAAATAGAAACAGTCAAAACATTTCATCAGATTTTCTCAATTTTTGCATATTTTCACTCAGTACATCAATCGTTCAACTAAGGGAAGATTTTATACTGATAAATTAGGTGACCAAGTTTGATAAAGTTTGGAAGGAATAGAATTACTAAAGTTATTGTGCACACGTTATCAATTATTAATGATGACAACAACATTTTTCCCTTAATATACCTTTCCTTTCATCTTTGATGATACAGGAAAGGTAAAAAATAATGACATAAGTATTATGAATGAAATGAAACACTGACCTTGGACACTCTCCAAATTCAATACATTTTTCTTTCTCAAAAACACGGCATAGCATGTTTCCCAACATTTGAGTTTGTACTTCCTGAAAATATATACTTATTAATGATATCTGTATTTGAATTACAATCATCAGTTTTAGATGATTAAACTGACATAAAATAAGCTTTAAAAATAAAATGTTGAACAATATATGACAACACATTAGAGCAGCATATGCCAAATTTGTGTAGTTAACACATTTCATTATTAACTTAAAGGGAATTTGTGCCAAATTATATTATTGTATCCAATGCACCAACTGAGATTAATATTAAATTCTTCATACATGGGTTTACAGATATACACCCTATAGTCAGTCAGAAACAAGTAAATTAAGTAAAAATACAAAGCTGCTAAATAAATTCTTACATTCACTGGTACATTGTATATCTGTAAATCCACAGTTGTGTCAGTATTACTTGAAAGTTGAAAGGTTAGTTTAAAAAATCAATGAACAATCTCCATGTTAGTAAAAATAAAAGTGGGCTGCAAACCCAAACCCCTTCAGCAAAGTTGTATGTATTTTCAAACAAAATATTCACAAAACTAAAAAAAATGCATAAAGATGGGCAGGATTTAAAATTTGGCACAGACCTTCTTTATATTCTATGTGTGGTAAAAACTGAACTTTTGCTTATTAAACACTGATATTAAAATTACAACCAATATTTCATTATCTTATTTCTTACACGTTTAGACATCATGTATTGCAGGTCAATCTTTGATTTCCCTATCTGTTTATAATGCCCTTCATATAGAGTATCAATTCCTTCTTGAATATGAGTCTTCATGACATATCCTCCCTCGTTAATATCAGGGTGATTTGAATCGACTATATAGCAATGATAAGCTGCTCTCATAGCACCTTTACCGATAAAATTGCCTTTTCGGAACTTAATTTCAAAAGATTTGGCATCCCATGCACACTCTCCTAATGAAGTGTATTTAAAACTACTGATTTCCCCTGCAACTAATGGGCCTGCCAGTAAAAAAATAAAAACAAATTCTTGTATGTTAAAATAGTACATTTGAACACTTTGAAGTGCTTTTTCTCATACATTTTTCTGTGATGAAATTGAAGTACCGGTAGTCAGAATTTGAGAACTTTTGTTAGCAATTAAAAATCAGAAAAGCAATATTGTAATATTACAACAATGAAATTAAAGCTATGTGAAAACAAGCACATTTTCATTCATGCCAAGATCAGGGCATATGATTGATGGACTCAAAAATGGCGAATAGTTATATATTTGTTTTTTTTGATAAATTTCTTTTTGCAAAAATAGGTTGTATACATGTATTTTCCTTAGTATGTGTAAATTTTGAATTGATCAGATACAGGATGAATGTGGAAATAAAAATGAACATCTCTTTGGTGACTGCAAAGCAAATTTGAAAGAATTCCAAGTTACTATTTGAAGATGAAATTAAATATATTAAAACCAAACAGTCAACAGACAATCATTATTATGAATAACTCTGCCAATTAAACATCATTGAAATTGGGACTAAACATTCATGTTGAGTATTGTACTTACCAGATTCCAATGGGACACATCTCTGACTTCTCCCAAAGTTCAATAATGTTGTAACACTAACTGAAAAAAACAAAAATTAATAGATGCAGTGATATTATAGAACCCAGGAGTTAAACATTTAAATGAGGAAATTAGGAATGTGATTGCCATAAGAATGTGTCACACATGTTTTATAGTTGCATAGAACAATGTACCTCATAAGTACGTAAAAAGAAATTCTCTAAAAAATAAACAGCTTCAGCACAGTCGTACAGATGTCCATATATAAGGTAGGTAATTAACATGCATGGATTTCACAGATGTATGTAGAACATTTACTTGAAATTTTAATGAGTACTCTAGATATCAGTGGAAAATATATAAATTGGTTTATTTATGTAAATTAGGTAATTAGTAAGCACATAATTCAACCCTAAACTAAACATGTGTATGGCTTACCCCTGTGGTACAGGCACACACAAGTTTAATTAAATAAAAGTACCGGTAGAAATAACATCATATATTCTGTGACTTAAGGTCTAGTCATAATTTTTAACAAAATTGGTCATAAATCACATAGCAATATTCATTAGTTTATTGTGTACAATCATGAAGCTAATGTCTCATGGTACAATGAAATAGCATTATTTTGTGTGTTACAGTTATGCTTTTTGAGAAACGTGTCCTAATATTTCCATGCTATTCTTACTTTATCGTGTGACTACTGAGTTAGAAGTTCGCCGATCTACGCTCAACGACGTGAAATCTGTAGCGACCTGACAGGGATTCCTTCACGGTCTGTGAGATCGATTGCCATCCTGAATTTGTGCAAATCCGGACACTATCCTGTTGAACTCAACCTGCACAACGCATCAGATGTTTAACAGCGATCGAGCCCAGCGTCTACCGTGAAATCTACGCAGCGAGCTGTCTCCTGGTGACTGACTTCACAGCGATCAACTGGGAGCAACGAATACGTTCTACGGACTACCAGTTGCTTATACAAGACGATAATATTCTGATTTACTGTACTTTTATGTAACATTGAACCATTGACATTGAAGTATTCTCATGTGTGATCACGCAATTTATGCAACATAATAGGCATTTGTAGCTGTTATTGTTATTACCGTTACACTTATGTTGTTGGTGTTGTGTTGAATTTATAGTGAATTGATCGATCGATCGATAGTCAGGGATTTATTCGAATTTTATTTTATTTTTTTATTAAATATTGAATTCATTTACTAGCATGATTGTCATTATTTTTAGGCCATCAGCCGAGCCCCTCATAAATATTACTCTGTCACGTTGTCAACCGAACTTAGTTTCGTGGTTAATGGGTTGTATCAAGGGTTCTGAATTCTAAATCTGTTCTGGTAAAATTTCCAGAATTTATTTGGTAACTAAAATCGGGCGATTTCATTACGTTGACGTAATCACGTGTTATATTAATATTAATATTAATATAAACTGTACCATTTTCTTTACTAACCCTAAGCTATGGATAGTTGACTTAAAATTCAATTAAAACTTTGACAAGACACTCATACCTGGAGGTCAAAATAGCTCCATTGTCCTACTTGAACATTTATGGTAGCCATGTTGAGCAACACACACTAAAAGACAAAACGTGTTTAACCCACCCCCCGAAAAAGTTTGGTCCTGGCTGTTGAGAACATATCAGCTTAACTTCATCTAACAAATTGTTCACAAAAATAATGTACCAGGTACACCTCAATCTAACAGAAATCCAACTAAGGTACCTACAACATACCAAGTATCAAAGCAATTGGGTTGTTAGTTTTTAGGAATAAGTCGAAAGTGCAATTGTAGATGGACAAACGACGGGCAATCACCTATATGAACAGCTCCACTATGTCATCTACGACAGTGGAGCTAATAAGAAAATAACACTAAAGTCATTATGGCCATGTAGTGCATCTATTTTCAATTCTACAGAAAATGTTTTATAAGTGCTTACTTGATGGAGATGGTTGCACAATTGCTTCTGTCTGCAATAAAATAATATTGTTTAGTTGTTGTATTCTTATAATAGACTTACATTTGTACACAATAAAGATCAGGGTTTATGTTTTGAATCCATTCTACAGAAATTACTTTTTGAGACAAAATAAACTCATATTAGTTTAGTACTAAACTAATCTAATTGACAGATCTTGGGGAGCCTATAACAACATCTGGTTCTCAAAATCAGTAATTGCTATGCCTTCATTGTGTTTACTTTTTCCTACATCTCATAAATATTTTATTTCCACCAATAAATCTTTGCCTAGATCTCAAACAGCAAGGACATATATTCCCACCCCTTGTATACCTTGACTTCATCATTGATGATACTGACCAGGCAAAAATGAATTAAACATGAGTAACATCTTCATCAGCATTAATCTTCTCATCTTTTTGCAATTATAATTACCATCAAATAGCGCAAATGGTAAAAGATACTAACCTTTTTACATGTTTTCGCCATCTCAGAAAGTTGTTTTAACTGACTGGAAGCTGAGAAAAAAATGTCGGTTCTGTCAGGACATTTGCTATAAATATGTGAATTCAATCATATGGTGTGAAAATATACAGTGTATATAACATATAAGGTACTTCTATAAACTATTCCTGTCTAGAAGGTTGCTTTTGATAATCATTGTAATGTGATATTTAGTCACCGTTGATGTAGTTTTTAATTTTGTCAGCTTGAATTTAGGCAGAGGGTTCTCCAAACTCGTCTATTCACATAGTTCATACCCACCATAGACCAGTCTGCCCAACGAAAATTCTTGGTACCGGGGTCTTGGGAAGGAGCCTTGGGGGTATTTTAGTCTCATCCCATACTTTGGGGACTAATCCCGAAACAACACAGACCGGGTAGCATTTGGTCCAGCAGAAAGTGTTGCATAAGATTTTACCCCATCGGGGGGCCTTAAGCGTTACCTCCTCCGTAGCAGACCAACGTCTGCCCATCAACGCCGTTTGCGTGCCCTGTGTCCCACTCCGCACTCGGATGGACAGGGAGAGACATATCGACGGGGTTGCTTTGGATCCCAACGCCTGTGATCCCATAAGCCTTGTAGCAACTGAAAGTGGTCGCCTTAGGATCAGGGTATTTACATCGTATCACTAAGAAAGCGTGGATCACCGAGTCATTACGGATAGTATACTCTGAGGGACCGAAAAAAAATATCTCAGACCTCAGAACTCCAGTGAAAAACTCGCGCCTTCAAGGCAAAGACCCCGAACATTGCATGCAGGCACAGCGAAAAAGCATATCAGATACAGGTTCTATGCTGGTAAATTCTGAATATGACCACTGCATAGTCGACCCGAAAACAAGGAGGCCAAAAAACGGCAGCGAGTCATGGAGCTGTCATTACATCTACTCATTTCTAAATACGTAGATCAAGCATAAAATGAAGACGACATGCATGAGGGAAGCGAATTACAGTAGTAAAAGGTGCTGCCACGAAACCAACAAGTGGTTATGTAGTGGGGCCGGGTATTAATTTATTTGTTGTGAAAAAAAAAATATTACACACAAGGGGGAAAACCACACGAGGGTAAAGAAGACAAGAAAAACTAATCCTAACAGCTAGAATGTTGAATGCCGCCCAGCGGCAACAACCCAAGCTAGAAACCCGGACAGGAAAAGCAAGCGATCCAGGCAGAGCACGCTAGATTTCATCTTCATTCGAGACAGAGAAAAAATCAAATCAGAGTGATTGTACAGACGTTAATGGCGCTGCCATATGGCCTCGGTCACGTGGTTCGTGAAGTAAGGGAAAAGAGAATCTTGGGGTCATGGGGCTTCACCTGACCTAGATTCTATCTCTTCGTCGCCGACAGAGTCACTGATTAATGCCTACAGTTCAAAATAGTCATTTTGACTGACCTGAGTCTATGGTGGGTAATTGAACGTTGTGAATTTGGTAGGGAAATAATTAGAACCAGCCTCAGTTTTTCTTCCAGGACTTATTTACAAAAGACAACAAGTTGTTATTGTTTACAAATTTTTGTCCAAAAATGTAATTATTCATATTGAGATTTTTAACTGACACTTACCACTATAACTAAGTGGAATACTACCAGTATCGATAGAGCAGGAATCACCTGAATTACTTGATCTGTGATCTCTATAAAGACAAGGCAAGATATATTACAAGAAGTATACAATAGTTTGATTATAATACATAAGAAATGGTATAGCTCCATACATTATATATATATATATATATATATATATATGCACTATATATAAGATATAGATAATAATAACAATCATATTTTATATCCATTGTGTTATTTTAAAACTTGCCTGGTGGGGAACATGTGTGTGATACATACATAATAAAATGAAATCAAAAAATACTTACAACATGAATGCAGACAAACTTTCCTCATTTCCATCCTCCTGAATAACATGGTCAAAAAGAAATGAGTAAAGAGTTGCAAGATGATATAGTCTCTCAACATAATATATAAATAAAATTTATGAATTACATTCCCCATTCATTTTCTGGCGACTAAACAATGAAAGATGTAGATAGAATTATGATTAAATGTTTGGTAATATCCAGAAATTACAGATTGTGTAATTTCAAATGGCAACTTATTTGGGGCTGTTAAAGTGGCATCACCTGGAAACAAAATCATTCTTTTATCTTACATACAAAACTGCACAATCTACAAGTAAACAGTTTGATTCAAACCACAAAAAAAATAGCATATGCACTGTTCATATCAAATTTCATTTCAAAAACTTTTGAAAGTTCTCTTTGTGCTCATCATATTAAAGCGGAGGGGTTGTCGCGAGCGTGTCCTTGAAACTTGAGTTCCAAGTGGCTTATACAACATAATGTTTATTTATATCAAAACCCGTGTACCGTGTAGTAGTAATATGGCCAAAATAAAAACAGCCGTTATTCAGCCATCTTTGATCTGATTATGAAACACACTGATATGTATGATGTATGTGCCAAATATGAATAATTTTGATTTTGAAGACACATTCTTAAAAAAACATGTTAATAACACTAAACTGCACCAACATTATACAATGATTGATAATAAACACATGATTAGAGAAGATTGGTAAAAAATTAATTGAGTTTAATATCTTGGATACAAAGATTTGTTAGAACAATGACAACACTTTCAGACAAGCACAATTTTATTTTTCCCATTTTCTTTTATTACAAGATAGGTCAAAAAAATCAAATCACTACGTCTTGTCTTTGCACCAACAATATCAACCATGTCTGAGAGCTGATATCAAATGGACGTGAAAATGACTACAACTGGATTAACTAGTAGGACACTTACCGGAGAATAAAAACAAAATGTAGTTTTGCTTTGGATATGGCAGTCTTCTTTATACTCTGGTCCATTGGGCCCACCAAGTATTTTGCACTCTGATTTCAATGAATAAGAAATCTTGAAAAATTCCATACACGAATCGAGGACATTAGATATAGATAATGGCTTATTGAATTCCACCTACAAAAAAACAATCGTCTTATAGTGGTTGACCTGAAAATATTATTTTTTAATCAATTACAATACCTGCTTATGGATTTAAGAAATCATTTTTTCCATTTTAAGATAAACAAAGCTAGCCATATTATGTATGGGGTGATTCACTCTGAGAATTTTGACAAATGTTCCTACAAATAACCAAAGACATACTTTTTTCAATTCATTTATGATATTCTACATTATCACAGTGGATAACATTTTTGCACATTTTGTAATAACAAAAAAAATATTGCCAGATATGTAAATCAGAAAAAAAGCTTATTTTTCGAGTTGGAAACTCAGCATAACAATTTGTTTAGATAAAAAAACAGGTGTCAGGTTATAATTATACTCACCAACTGTTTCAAAGCCTCACTTTTTTGGTATTTCATTGATTTTCTGTTAAATTTCAACCTAGTTATAGTCAATAACTGAAAGAAAACAAAGAAAAAATATCTAAGCCTCGAGTTTTGATTTGTGATGTGAGATATGTTTTAACAGATCTGTAAATCAAAAACAATATTTGACAAAATACTAATCTGAAGGTCTCTTATATAAATTTTATTTTAGACAAATTTTGAAAAATCTTGAACAAAATACAAGCTAGTCACACCAAATAGAACCTGGTTGACATTTTATAGTAATTAAATCCAGGTTGCGATAGGGCTGCATACCACAAGGGAGCTGAATAATGATGCACAATCACACATAAGTGTCTGGGATCCAATAGGGATAGGTTTATTCTAAATAACAAAACTAGGGGGCCAGAGTTTGAGTAAATATGTTGCCATGGCAACCTCAAGGTTGCTGAAAAATGGCCAAACACTGGCAAACCATGGAGGTAGAAAAGAGAAGGAGTGATGACGCTATTGTTTCCGCTGGTTTCATGATGCTTTGGATTTGTTTACTCACATACACAATGTAATTAGTTTGCAAACACGCTGTACAATGTCACAGTTAATCGGCTTACGTGTTTCGGCTGTATTCGGAAGCTTCACGAACATTCTCAACGCACTGCGCATGCCCAAACAGATAACAATAATACAGAATACAGTGAAAGACGTACGCTGAGTGTACTCAACTCCCGAAATCTATTACAACAAAATGCGCGATTTTAAACATCTGCACAGTTCTGCACACCAATGAAAAATGACGAGTCAAAACATCTTGTTATAATCTTATCATGTATATTTAAATTTCACTGCGGAAATTTGCGGGATTTTTTTAATCAATGTCCAAATTTGGACGACTATTGCGATGTAAAATATCAGAAAAGAAGTAATCACACATCTTGGTGGCGTCCGTATGCAGAATTTCCGGTACCTACAAGTGTGAAATGACCTTTGTGATCCGATAAAGGTCATTGCGCATGCACAATTCTTTTATTTATGGTTTGCGCATTCAATTTTATAGACGATGTTTAAACGGAATTTATTTTTTTCAGTTCTACTCTCGTTTTCTTGTGTAAATAAGCGGCTATCATCATGTAGATAAAACGACTTTCTAAACAAAAAA